TTCTGGATATGAACGTTATGTGTAAAATTCTTACCCCGGAACAACCCGTTCTGGAGTTGAGATTAACACAAAAATTCCTTGCTAGAACGGCCCGTTCCAAACTAAGTTTTTTAGGATTTTTTAGAAGTTTGGAACGACCCGTTCTGGTTTAGGAACGACCCGTTCCAGACTAAGATGTTTGGGCCTTTTTTGTCACTTGGAACGGCCTATTCCAATATGGGAACGGCCCGTTCCAAATTAGGGTTTTAGGCCTTTTTTGTAAATTGAAACGGCCCGTTCCAATTTAGGAACGGCCTGTTCCGGGCTACTAAAACTAGCTTATTTGGGCTTTTAGCCTTCTAATGTCATGTCCCATTATTTCCATGCTTGGGAGCTCCATTTCTTTGATGATAGATGTCTATTTCTTTGTTTGTATGCCCCCCGGACGAAATTGGGTGTCTACAAGGGTTAATTTAGGTTTCATTTGAAGTGCACTTGGAATTGCATTTTCAACTAATACATTCTCAAATACAACCCTAAATGCTCTCTCCCTTCTATAAATACTCTAGGCTATGCATCATGTAAATACTTTGGATATTGAATATAAAGAGAGCCTTTTGTGCCTTTATATCTTTCCTTATTCACCCGTTGCTAATTCTTCCACCTCCCTCCCATCTCCATCTTGAGAGAAACGACCCTAGAAGTGGCCGTCATCATCATGAAGCGAGCCAACCCTAGAGTACCCTCCTCAAGGCTTTCATCAAACACCTTCTACCCAACTTCCATTTTCGTCCATTCTATCATAATCCTCCTTAAAATCACGCACCACCTATGAAGAACTTGATCCTTGGAGCAAAGGTGTCCTTCCTTGTTCATCATCTCACATCAATGCAAGCAAGGGTGCCATCATCCGGTGTATATTTCTACACAGTGAGCCAGAGTGAGATCTTTCTCACTCCTTTTTCTTTTGTGTTGTTATTCTCATAGCTACATTCAAGTTCAACAAAAAACTAAGTATTAATTGTCTAACTCTAGATGTTGGTTGCATATCCACCAACACATCATTTTCTTTATTCCTAATGTTAAAAGCTTCTTTAATATTATATCAATTTTCTCCATCACCATCTCTTTCTCCACCACCATCTCCTAGACTAATAACACTTTCGTCACTACCACCTCCTTTGGTACCACCACCACCAAAATTAGGGGGACCTCCTTCACTATCACCTATAGCACTTCCACCATGACCAAAACATAGGGGCCCTTCAACATTTTTTCCTCCTCCTAGGCTACCAACACCTTTACAACTACCTTCTTTTTTACCACCACCACCACCAAAACCTGGAGGCCCACCTTCATTATCAACTCCTACACTTAGGCTACCAACACCTCCAATGCTACCACCTCCTTTGGTAGCACCACCACCACCACCACCATCAAAACCTGGGGGACCTCCTTCACTATCCATTCCTGCACTTCCTCCTCAACCTGGGTTACCAGTACTATTGACACTACCTCCTGCATTCGTCCCACCACCACCACCACCAAAACCTGGGGGGCCTCTTTCACTATCAGCTACTGCACTTCAACCATTGCCATAACTTTTGAACCTTGCAACACTTCCTTTTCTTCCTGGACTACCAAAACTTTCTGATGGAAATCTAATCCCCAAGGATCCCTTTGGAAGAGGTAAGACCAAGAAGGGTGAAGGGTGATCCAAGGATGCTCACACTTGAAGACCATTGGGCCTTTAACTAGGTCCATGGTTAGGAGGCTAGAGGAGGCTTCTAGAGAAGAGGTGCTTCTTAGACCTATGCTCAATATGAGTATTGAGTATGATTCCTCTTGTTAGTCTCATAGTCTCTATTGTAAATACATTGTATAGTTTGATTTCTTGTACCTTGTATATAGTAGATACTTGTATAGGTGTATTTTTGCCTTTGTATTTGTGAGGCACTTTATTTCCTTTTTAGTAGCTATTGTATATTGTTTCTAGGGTAGGTTACTTGGACACTTTGACTCCATTTAACCTAACCTAGAAATACATTCTTTTCTTAGTTTTTCTAGTAGGAGTGGCATTAGCAAAATAGAGAGTGTCCTTAGTAAGCTAGAGAGTGCTCCTAGCAATTTAGCCAAAGGTGGTCCTAGGCTAAAATTTACATATTGGACTCATTTTACTCCTAATTTTTCATAGATTTGATTTAGCTAGGTTCCATTCACATTGAATGAACCTAACTAAACCAAATTAACCATTTTCAAACGTGATTGGAGTAAAATAAGTCCAAAAGGCCACCCACCTAGATGTGTTCACACTTGTGTTCACACTTGGCCAAATTGCTTGGTTCTTCTCAAGCTTGGAAGCTTGAAGCACAAGCTTCTCCTTAGCTTGCTTACCAAGCAAGCTAAGTGAGTAGCTTGCTCTCCAAGCCTCTAGACCATGGGTGGTTAGCTAGACCTTACCATGGTTCCTAGTGAACCATGGTTAAGACTAGCTTACTCTCCAAGCTTCCTACTCCTATATTTTCGTTTTTCCCTCTTTGTAAAACACTTTTGATGTAATTGAGATTGTATATTCTGAATAGAGTTCAGATTTCTCTCTTCCAAAAGTCCCTAAACCTCTTTGAGTGCATCCAATTCTCTTATCCCTTCCATAGAAGAGTGTGGTGAGAATTGAAGGGGCTTATCTCTTCTTCAAGGAGTGGCGCCTCTTGGGAGAGTTTCTCCACCAACCGTGGTGGTCTTAAGGCCTCCTCCTCCATAGGAGACCTTAACCAAGCATAGGAAGAATCAAGGAGCCAAAGATCTAGGGAGGAACTTGAAGAGGATTCACATCAATCCGGATTCTCCAACAAGTTTTCCATCACTTTCGATACTACCTACTCCTTTGGTACCACCACCAAAACCTGGGGGACCTCCTTCACTATACATTCCTACACTTTCTCCTCCACCTGGGCTACTAGCACCGTTGACACTACCTCCTCCTTTCGTACCACCACCACCACCACCACCAAAACCTGGGGGCCTCATTCACTATCAGCTACTGCATTTCCACCACTTCCATAACTCTGGAACCCTGCAACACTTCCTCTCTTAGACTACCAACACTTTTGGTACTATGTACTCCATTGGTACCACCACCACCAAAACCTAGGGGACCTTCTTCACTATCCATTCCTACACTTCCTCCTCCACTTGGGCTACTAGCACCGTTGACACTACCTCCTCCTTTTGTACCACCACCACCACCACCAAAACCTAGGAGGGCTCCTTCACTATCAGCTATTGCATTTCCATCGTTTCCATAACCTTGGAACCTGATGGAAGAGCATGGGCTAAAGGCCCAACCACTA